TGAGGAATTGTGCTTCTTTGAGTAAAACAAACAGATCCTCCATGTGCACATACAGACAACAAAACCTAGCTAGGATTATAAGGGCTGTGAGAGGTCTGGTAGAGCTGAGAAGCCTGTGCAGGTAAGACTGAGGGCCTGCCTTCCACCCCCACAGTTGCTTAATCCTTTCACACACAGCCCCAAACTGCATTGTTCTCCTGAAAACTAATTTTAAAATTCCATCTATTGGAAGACTGGAATAGGTATCTGAAATAGTTGAAAAATGAGTAAGGTTTGAAAATGGCTACATTCCAAGATTCTTTTAGTGAGTCTCTTATTTTCTCTAGTTCTGTTTTATTTACAAAGTTCCACACAAATCTACAAAGCCGTGTAACTTTTTTTACTGACATCTTTGCAACCTTAAAAAAATTATTTGTGATTTTTATTTATTTTGTTATTTCTTTATTTTAGACAGGGTCCTGCTATGTAGCTCAGGCTGGCCTGGAATTTATGGTGATCCTTTTACGTCAGCCTCCCAAGTCCTGGGATTACAAGCATGTACCACAAGGCCTGGTTTATCTGTAGTTTACTTGAACTCCTTTGGCCTACTTCCTTCTAAGAGGAGGAGACAGGGTCAAAGATGTGGTGGTAAGGGTCCCTAGTTGCAATATTCTCTCATGCTAATGATAAACATACTGTCTCCTTCTTATCTGTGAAAAATACTGGCAATCCCCAGGGCTCAAATAGTAGAAGTATAAATTCCCACACCAATTCATAAATGTCTTCAGCCCTTCTAGAAAATTCTATCTTGGAAAGAATAAAGAAATCAAAGAAATACTTTAAAAATAATGGTATAAATTAATGATATAAATAATAAACAGCAAATAAAAATCCTAGTAATTTTTCTGATCTCTGTATGGCATTTAATGCCAGTTCCAATATGAGAAGCCTCTTCTGACTTTCGCCCCTCTCTCATACTAAGGAGCCCATATTCAGTCATTCTTAGATTTCTTTCCTTTTTATAATGTTGAGACAGGGTCTTTCATTGCATTGTTCTGGCCTCAAACTCCCTTAGAAGCTGAAGGTGACCTTGAATGGCTGATCCTCCTTGCTTCCACCACCATTCCATTTATGTGCTGCTGGGAATCAAATCTAGGGCTTCATGCTTGATAGGCAAGCACTTTAACCACTCAGCCATACCCCCTGCCCTAGCATCCCACTTCTGTCTAGCCCCCACCCCAGGATTCATCTTTATCTTCTACAGACAGAGTATTCCTTCCATCACTTGACTTCTTGAATCATTCCTTTCCCTTTCCTTTTTAAACTGAGGAACCCTGGGATTGTGTGAATTTCTTAAAAATCTTTGTCTTTGCATTGTGTAGAAAATGCCCAAAGCAAAGAATTTTGTTGATCTGACTTCTCTTTGTGGGTTGGGCACTTTCATTCAGCCTATACTTTGCCTTGTAGGTCAGAAAAGAAATGTCAAGGCTAGAGAGGCTCTCGCTCTTGAGATGGCCCCCAGAACCTTTGTGCTTGCTTATTTCTGTCTCCTCTGTGGGTTCAGCAAGCTATGGCCGGATACACCCTGCCCCTGCTAGGCAGATAAAGGCTGCTTGCTGATGGTCTCCTTGATCGTCTAAACCGCAGGTCCCTGGTTTCCTCTGTGCGTTTCTTAAAGGAAGTGTTGAGCAAAGGAAATCAACTGGGTTGAGTAATGATCAACATGTTCCCTTCCCCCTCCTCTTCTAAACGGGTATTTTTCATAAGCTAGTTTTTAGGGAAAAAAAGTTCAATGTGAACATTTGCCTTCTACATTTTAGCCTTGCTTAGATTTGGGGGAACTACCGTTCTTAAGTAATATGTTTCGTTTAAAAATTAGTGCTTTAACAAAATATCTGTGAGCGCGTATTTTACCTTTGTAAAATTGATAGCTCCTTCTCTTTTGCTGGGCACTGTGGCCTGGCTTTGGCCAGGCCATTATTTGCGTCCACCAGTTAAAGTACGTAGCTCAGATGGCTGAGGATTATGGATGATACAAGACTTGTGGATCAGTTGATTTCAACAGGTCTTAAACTTGGCCCAAATTTCACCTGGCCTGCATTTGTCCTTTGAATTCTAATATTCTTTACTGGGATTAAGTAAGTCACTAAATTCAAATCACTCCTTAATAGTAAGTCCACCTGATTTTATAAAGCTAATTTTAAATATTGAACTTGAATTGGAAAACTAGCCAGTAGATGGGCAAATCATAGATTGATTTCTAAATCCATTAAAATGTATTCTTTATTTGAACCCGACCGGATTGTCCTAAATTCTTTGTCCAATGCTAGCAATTGGTTAACCAAGTTTTTTGATACCTGAAGTAATGTGTTGTAAATCACCTTTTATTTTCTTGAGTGAGAAGCAATAAATTCAGTGTTGGCTTAACAAACCCATAAAAGGTTCAAACTGCAAATAAATTGTCCAGACTGGCCAGGCTCCTGCCTCATTCCCCAACTTCTCCCTCCAATAATGCAGATTACAGGCGTGGCGCTGTGCTCAGCTTGCAAACACATTTTCATTAAATCTTTTTTATATAACTCCTATTAGGAACTGGTAACCGGCCTAAGATGATCTCCTAATTACTTCCTATAGAGGAGGTATTTCACATACGTGGTAATACCCGGTGCTACGTTGTCAACGCAGTTTACATTTGTCACTTCTGTGTCCCCATGAGACCAAGAGAAAGGCCCTCTGGCAAAGGTTTTATCATCCATTAAACTACTCCTACCTAACACAAACAGACATACCAGTCAGGTTTTAAAACTTTATTTGCATATTAAAAAAATTGTGCATTCCAATAATTAAAATCATTTGAACAAAAAAAATGGCACTCTGATTAAACTGCATTTTACAGCCTGCAGGTGATACCTTGGACCATCTTGAATTTTACTCTAATTTCACCACCTCCCACCCAGTTTTTTCCTTCACTAACATGCAAGTTCTTTTCCTTCCCCTTCAGCCAAACCCGGCAGATGGGCGAGGCAGGCGTGGCCTTCGTTGTCAGTAGTTCTGGATTCTTTGATGTGAAAGGGGCAGCACAGTCATTTAAACTTGATCCAACCTCTTTGCATCTTACAAAGTTAAACAGCTAAAAGTAAAATAAGAAGGCAATGCTTGTGGAATGTACAGTGCGTGTGGGCGGCGCTCGCCTCATTACGATTCGCCTGCTTGCTTCTCCTGTTCGATTGCTGTGAAGAAAAAAAAAAAAAAGAAAAAAAGTGGCGCTGAGTACAGGACAAGATAATTATGTTTTCACTTAAAATCTTTTTTCATCGCATAAAAATTCTACAAGTGTGTATATGTATCCACAACGAAATAAAAGTCATATTTAATAAGTTAATACATGTATTTGCATATTAATATGGCATACTAAATATTCCATTATTAAATCACTAAAGCCCAGTGTGTTTGTTGGCTGCAAAACACTTTTTAATTAACCTTTGCAAGCCACATTCATCATCATCAAACTGTCGGCTCCTCCCCCGCACTCTCCCCGCCTCCCCTCCCTTCCTCCCACCCACCAGCAGCTCCCGCTCCCGCCCAGCCCATTTTGAAAATGGGTGGTGGGGCAGAAAGCTTACTTTCTTTGGAAGGCAGAGGATTTTTCTCTTGCGTTTCTGTCTTCTTCAATTTCGACTTATCGAATTTCTCGATCTCAGCCATATCGGGTTTGTCAGACATGGTTGCAGAAGGAGCTGTGGGTACAAAGCCAAGACAAGGCTAAGAAAGAGCCACCCGCCCTCGCCCCCCCCCCAGCTCCGAAATGCGTATCTCCCCTCCAGACTCCAGCCTGAAATCCCACCTCCTTCCCCCCTTTCTCTTCCATTCTGGGCTTTTTCTGGGGGGGGGGGGAACTCCTTCCCCTAAATAATTCTAGTGTGGGGCTCAACGTGGCCCTTAAAATGTTAATATTTCCTTGTAATGAAATTAATCTTTGCGGGATGCTAATTGCAGTGTTTAAAAATTAAAATCTGCAAAGAAGGAGAACGAAGCCGCTTCCAGGTTAAGGGGAGGAAATGGAATAAATCTCTTAAAACCGAGCCAAGGTCGCAAAACTCATCTGCATTTTCTAGACGTGCTCATTCCCCAAAAGATGCCAGGCAGTCCAGCTTTCTCCTCCTCACAAAGGCGGGAGCCAAAGCCCGCAGCCTCCGACCACCGCCCTACCCGCTTCCTCTCTCTAGCCCAACAATGCAGCCCGATCGTACACAAAGCTGCCTCCCCACGCCTCACAAATCGATCTTGATGTGCATGCAGGGGCCATTCGGCAGTCCTCTGCAAGGACTTCAGAATTTTCACGGTAGAGCCCAGCCACATTAAGCCTACCAAAGATAAAGCCCTCGAATTCATCAGACGCTAGGGGAAACACAGAGCGGCTGCAGCTCCTGGATCGGGTGGGTATGCGTTAGAACAAAGGATCCGAGATAGAAGGATCCGAGGTTGAAGGCCTGGTGGGGGGTTGGGGGAAGGGTGGATTCACCTCGAAGCCTTACGGCAAACGCCAGTTGTTTTTTTTTTTTTTTTAATTAACTTCCCCTTCCCATTACCAGCACCTGGAAGAGTTTAGCATCCTCAAATTCCCCCAAACAACCTTGCCTTGGAGGACCACTTGAGCTGGGCCTTAGGGATGCCTAGTAGGGATGCAGGTGCTGAGGAGCGAGCGCCTTCGCTCCGCAGGGGCGCAAAGGATAGAAGGAAGGGGCCCCTGGGGCTCACCGGAGCGAGGTGCCTGAAGGAGAAGAGTCCGATCAGCTCAGTAGCCGCCGCCGAGTGTCGGGAGGGGCGCGGCGGTTGTCGTTATATAGGCGCTCCTATGTAAATGAGGTGATGTCATCCACAGGCACGCTTAACTCCTTCGCGCCGCGTCTGCGGAAAGGCGTACAGAGGCCAGATGGGCTTGGGCCCTCCCCACCCCAGCCCTCTAACCACATAGATGGCGGAAATAGAAAATGCCTTCAAAATGGTTTTTTCCTTTTGACGTTTATTTTATTATAATGAACTTTTGCAACAGACACCCAAATATGCTCTTGAGGTTCAAAGCATAAATAAGGGACTGTGTGGTACCTCAGGGGACAGGCATTCTTTAACTTCAAAACTGGTTTTGTCTATCGTAGTCGTCCCCAAGGTGAAGTGCGGTGTGGTGCGGTGCGGTGCGGTGCGGCATGGAGTCCCACACACCAGGGCTGCAGGGGTCTGAATCCAGTGACTCAGCTTCAGACCAGTGGCCGGCACCAGCCCCACCCGGTCCTCTTTGTCTTCCTCGCTTGTCTTCCCTCTTGACTTGCGAGGGAAATAAAGGATCCTTAAGTGATTTTTTAAAGAAAAGTTCCATCACTGTAGCATCTATATTTTCTTGCTATAATTTTTGTGAGCATTCAAGACAAATAACTCACATTTTCTAGGTGGGGAGTTTAGAAGTTTATAGAGTACATAGCTTCTCCCGTAAAAAAAAAAAAAAAAAAAAAAAAGTCGAGTTCAAGTTCTGCTATTGACTGCCTGATAATGAGGAGGTTCTTTACTTTCCTGTTTCTTATTTTTCTTATTATAAGTGATTGGTTAATAAGGCCCAGGTTGATTTCAGACGATGACAATTCCAATAGTTTTTATATCTAAAGGTTAAAAACTTGAACTCTGTTTGGAAGGGAACATTTTCAGCAGTACATCTGGAAATGAAGATTCAGGTAAAGAGGAGTGGTTTTCAAAATGGCACTGGTGTCAGTAGTACCAAGAACCTACTTGCTTCTGAAAAGCAGACAAAGATAACAGGCCTGTGCCTGCAAGTGAGGTATAAAAGGAGAATGATTACGTTGGTGATTAAAAGGCCTCATTGTGATTATTTCTGAGACTCAAAGCACTACAAAATATTCCTTCTCCTTTTCGATGTCCTGGGGAAATGTTTCCAGTAACCCCTTGTTAATCATTTTTTATGACAGAGGCTTTGCCTCTCTGGGGATGAGTCAAGTGTTATAAGGACCCTTAAATGCCTCTGCTGGAGCGGCTAAGACTTCTTCATTTTTTCATCCGTTTCCCTTTTCCTGGGGAGGAAGGAGGTGGGGGGTAAGCAGGGGCAGATGACTCGTCTGGTTCCCCAGTTAATGCTCTGCCTTCCTGCCCTCTAAATTGGGCCCTGGACCTGTTTGAGCATGCATCTGATATCACCTCTCTGTTAACATCCCCTCCCTCCCCAGGCAGTCCACTCGAAGGCAGTCCACTGCATTGTTGAAATAGAGGAAAGATCTTGCAGTGTGCGTTTCTGGCCTCATCTGCTGGCAGCTGCAGTTACACCAACACCATCTCTGTGGGTTCTTCTATTCCATTTTCCCCCACTCAACTTGTCAAAAATCCCCCCCCCCCGTTTCTTCTGATGACAAAGGAATGCCACTACCTGCTCTGTACTGCCTCTTTGCCTTAGGAAAGTTAGCCCTTACCGAAGCCATGGAGAAGAAGATGGAGGCGTGGAGAACTGTAAACATCTGGAGTTTCCTGCTTTTGTATCAGGAAGCCTTTATAGCTGGAAAGAGCAGGTGGGTTGTTAAAGAGGCAGGCAACTTGCCGAAGGAAAGAAGTCTGCTGTAAATGGCTTGATTTGCTGCCTGGACAGGAAAAATGGAGAGGGACAGGTGATGCTGATAAAGTGAAAAGCAAATAAAAGGAATAGTCTTAAAAGCTGTGGGCTCCTCATGTTAATCTTTCTGTTCTTAACGCTTCTCCTCTGTAAAGTGGGCGAATGGCAGTACCTAGCCACAGAGTTTGGGAGGATTAAGGTCTTGAAACTGTGTGTTACAATAGCAGGCTCTCCTCTGTTCTGTTCATATTTAAAATGGAAAGTTGAGAAGGAAAAAATAATAAATGTTTTAGTGGTTGTTGTTAATGAAAAACTTTAAATGCTTTGGTATTCTCTTATAAAGGGAAATTTGTATGTTTATTGTACCTTATTTTTATTGAATTGATATATATATAGATATATACTGTGTTATTTCCAATTTACCAATAAAAATGTGATCTTTTGTTGTCTTACAGCAAATAAAAATAGCTCTAGTTCTAGGGATGGAGATGCAGCTCAGTTGGTAGAGCACTTGCCTAGCATGCAGAAACCCTATATTTGATCACCAGCATCACAGAAACCAGGGATGGCAGTACATGCTTGTAATCCCAGTACTCAGGGGAGTGGAGGCTGGTGGATCAGGAATTCAAGGTCATTCTTGGCTACATAGCGAATTTGAGGCCAGCTATAAGACTGTCTCAAAAAACAAAAACAAAAACCCCATAGTGTCTTTGGTTGACACTTTCTAAAACGTCAGGCTGTATGATAGAAGCTTTAGATTCAATTTCTTCTTTCATGCTTCCAACCTCTCTGTGAGGAGGTTTGTACTTGGGGAACTGAGGGTAAGGGACCCTTTGGTAGCCATTCTCTATTATTGATGCTAAGGACCACATAAAAGTCTTCTCCTTTGCCCTTTAAGCTTATGCCCAAGAATCACCAGAAAGAATGTAAGGGTAATACACTGCTTTGTTTTCCATAATGCCTAGTAGGTAGTATTTGCTCAATAAATCATGATTATGGTGCATTCAGTTAATTCCTTTAAATGAAACCTGTCCCTGAACCTGTGACTCCAGTCACCATGTTTAGATCTCCAGACAATTGAATCCACACAGTATTAATGTCACAGATGTTAGGGATAACTGCTGCTTCAGAGAAGCTAGCATTTATAAGTAGATTAACATATGCTAGGCAGAACAACCATTGAGGTGGGAATTTTCAGTGCCAATTAAAAAGACAGAGACACAGAGGCAGAGATTCCTTTCAAAAGGCCCTGGTCACTTTGGCTTCAGGGTGCACTCTGAGCTCAGAGCTCTGCAATGAAAAGAAAGCAAAAAGCCCACGTGGCAACTGCTTTGCTTCTCTCAGCTCCCAGGCCATGGTACCCTGTGAGACATGTGCCAACAAGGTGGCCCCTGTCCAAGCCTGTGCCCCACAGAACCAGGAAGAGGTGTCAGTGAACATTGTTTTCTTTTGCTTAGAAATGTGGCTATTTCTAATGGTGGGGAAATAGCCATCGAAGAAGTCTGCGTTGATGAAAATGAGTTCTATGATTTCTAACCTATTTAATTTGGGGTAGAACAGTAATCAGAAGAGAAGGAAGAGGAGGCGGGGCCTATACCAAGGATAGCAAGCTGCAAGACTGTCAGCTCTTTGCTTGCTCAAGCTCCACTCCCCTTTCTGGGTTCACTGCCTCCTACTGCCTGCCCTGCCTGCCCCACCCACCTGCAGCCCATGGTCCCCTGGGGTTCCTACAATTTCCACCTGTTCTTTGTATTTTCCCTTACAGCTGAGCCCCCTTCTACCCATGAGAATCTAAATCCCATTAAAGGACAGCCCCCAGGCCCCTGGTGACAGGAAGAGGAAAGGAGAAAGGAGGGAAGGGATCTTCAGTGTCCTAGCAAGATTTTGTGCCCTGCCTGATACCCGTTGATATGGGATGGGGTTCAATTTTCACCCTACACAGTGGGTAATGACTTCCTCATTTCTCACAAAAGAAAACTGAGGCTCATAGAATGGAAGAGACTTTCCCTAGATCAAACATCCAGTTGGAAGTCTATGGCTTTCCCTTGAGGCCTACCTTTGCCTCTGGGTTCACTGAAAAAATATCTTTCTCCTTGGCAGGCAGCTCTGTGTTGTTGATCAGTATGTAGGAACAAAGGGCTCCCCCTTCCAGTGTGAGAAAAATGAGCCAAGGAAATGAGCCAGCACAGGGGAGACCATGAAGACTCTGGTGAACGTGGAATGCCCTGCTTCTGATTGTCCTGTTGTTTTATTATCTGCTGGAATCTGAGCGCCGGCTTCATTCTATGGTTTGCCTTTGCCTCGGCAACATCCCCTCCAAGTGGTTACTTGGCCTCCAAACAGCCAGGGGAACCATTTCAAAGGCAGAGAATATTCAAGGCTTGCAGAGGGAAGTGAGTAGTTCAGTTTGGCAGGGGCTTGCATAGGAGGAAAGTGACAGGAAATGCTCTTGAGAGGCAGACAGGGGCCAGGTTGTAGAATAATAATGCTTTTGAGCATGACCATAATAAGAAGATTAATAAATGCCAGAATTTTCTGAGTGCTTTCTATATACTGGGGAGCTCTCCCTACATGATCTCACACAGCCTCTGAAGGAGGACTACTAGTTCCCTCACTTTGCAAATGAAGGAGTCCTAGATAGATTAACTAACCTACTAGGTCAAGGTAACACAGTGAAAGCCAGTGACAGGGCTGGGACCCAAACCTCCTGTCTTAGAAATGACCTCATATAAATACTGTATTTTTCTAGCATCGTAAGGTCTTCAGACTTTATTCTGTCATCTAGCTAGGAATGAAACTATATTCCATCTCTATAAACCCTCCATCTAGAAACAGTTAAGGCTTTTTGATAGGGCTGAGATGTGGCTCATTGGTAGAACATGCATGTGGTTTGCATGTGCTTATCATGTACAAGGCCCTGGCAAATAAAAACAAAAGACATTTTAAAACAAACTCTTCCCTTCCTGCAAAGCTTCAGTCTGAGTCTACTTACCCTTGGAACTGCTAGCCTACAGCATTCAACCCTTTTCCTTAGGGCTTGTATGAGGTATGCTTGTATGAGCTAATATGATACTATTAGCTGAAAGTGGTGGCATACGTCTATGACTAGAGGCCAGAAGATCAAGCATTCAAGGTCATGTTTAGCTATGACTATCAAAGCTTTGTTTGGTTTAGTTTCATTTTTTTCCCATGGTGTTGTGAATCCAACCCATAGCCTCACACATGCCAAGGAAGCATGTACTCTATTACTGAAGTATACCCCCAGCCCTGTCAAAGCTTTTCTATGAACTACAATCCCCAGAGCTGGTGAGATGGCTCATTCAGTAAATGCTTGCTTGCCTTGCAAGGATGAAGGCCTGAATTCAGTCCCCAAAGCCCATGAGAAAAGCCAGGTGTAGTGGTGGTGTTTACATGTAATCCCAGCACTGGGAAAATGAAGTTAGGCAGATGACTGGGTCACTCTGCCCAATGAGCCTGGCCTACTTTGCAAGTTCCAGGCCTGTGAGAGACCCTGTCTCAAATAAAAAATCATCACCATCAACAACAACAACAAAACGCAAGGTGGACAGCATCTAAAAAAATGACAACCACTGTTGTCCTCTGCATCAACAAACATACATGTACCTGCACACACATGAACACACACACACACACACACATACACACACACACACACACAAGAAGAAACATAATATCAGATTACTAGCAGGAGGTGGTTAATGGCTTTATGGTGAGGAAAGTGAAATGCAAATGGTAGATAGCTGCTTCAGATTTGAGGGGAAGGACTGACTATTTAGAAGCTGGTTTTCTGGGTCTGTGGCCTGTGCAAGCATTGAACTAGACTCTGTATCCAGGAAGGCCTGCTGCATGCATTGAACTGGACTCTGGACTCAGGAAGGCCTGATGCTTAATGCTGTGCTGCTGCCATCTTGAAATTCTTCATGATCATCAATAAAGGTCCCAGATGTTGCTCATGCACAGTGTCCCCCACAGTATGAAACCATTTGTACCATCCCAGGTTCCCATTTCCTGTGTGCACCCAGCACCGCTGGCTTCTTTTAGACCCAGGATGGGCCCCTGTGCTCATTCCCCCCTACTTCTGCCTGTAGTGACCTGAGTGACCATGCCATCAGTACCTCCCAGCTGAAAACCTGGTGGTGACTTTTTAAAAAAATGATTTAAGACAACACATTTGGAAGCTCAAGAACTAATGGGCTTCTTAGTCATTATCGAGCCCAAACACTCATTGGTCTGACTGCCACAGCTTAGACCTTACATGGTGTTGGTTTCTTTAGTCTACTTGGGAAGAGGTGTAGGACCAAAGTTCTTTCTAAATTGGTAAAATTCTTCATCCTTCCCTTCTTTTCTTCTCTCCAGTTGAGGTCCAACCTTGCTAACTGAAGGCTAAGTCACACTTGTTCATATCATACAACACGTATGCATGCACATGTACACACACACCACCACTACCACCATCAACAACAACCTCCAGGAAATCCTGGTCTTTTTGTCTCCATGAGAAAGGAACACATAACTTTGAGTGTTTCTTTTGGGAGTTTTCTCAGCTGTCTCATCCTGACTTTGTACTTCAGACTGTCAGCCTTCTTGGAAGTTTTCTGTGCGCCTCACCTTTCACACTTTCTTTGCGCCGGTAAAACAACCTAGTTGTGTAAACAGGATGGCTCAGACTCTTCCCTTCCTTCAAAGCTTCAGTCTGAGTCTACTTACCATTGGAACTGCTAGCCTAGAGCAGTCAACTCTTTTCCTTAGGGCTTGTATGAGACATGCATAATAGCTCTCTTCCTTTCTATTGCAGTATTTTTTTCCTGTCCAAGGTTGACCAGCTGTCAACTTACCTGCATGTGGGAGTTGACTGGCATGTATCAAGGTCATTGAAAGAACAAGCCTTTCCTAGCATCTGCACCCATTTTTCTGATTCTCTCTGACACATGCACTCACTTTCTATGGGAGGTATCCTACCCTGCAGTCCATGGTGGCATTGATATTGTATCCAAGAACTAGTAGATACGTTTCTCACCCATGGCAAAGGAAAGTGCCAGGAAGTGGTCACTTGGGTTTCTATATCCCAGTGTATAATTTATAGCTAGGACAATATGCCCTGAATTGGTAAAGATGGTATGAAAAATGGAAACCAACAGACACAATAATCCCTGAATCTCTCCTTAAGTAATAGACTCAACTAAATTTTGAAGACTAATTATAGTCTTCAACTGTTAAACATTGAATTATCATATGATGCTGGGCACAGTGGCACATGTCTGTAATGCCACAACTGGGAAGATAGAGACAGGAGGGGCCTCAAGTTTGAGGTCAGCCTCTATTACATACCAAGTTCATGGCCAGTCTTAGCTATATAATGAAACTCTGTCTAAAAAAAATAAATAAGGGCTGATGAGTGATCAGCAAGGCCCTGGGTGTAATTGTAATTTCTGGTGTCACACATACACAAAAAGATTCAATGCAATACAGAACCATGTTATGACAGTACTGAACCATGCTACAACTTAGAAGAACCTTGAAAACGTAATGTGAAAAGAAAGTTAGGTTCAAATATCACATGCTGTGTGATTCTATTTATATAAAACATCTAGTCTAGATAAATCCATACAGGGCAAAAGAACATTGGTGGTTTCCAGGGAGCTGAGGGTTGGAAGAAATGAGGAGTGACGTTGTAAAGGATACAGGGCATACTTTTGGAGCACTAAAAATGTTTTAGAACTAGATAGAGGTAGTGATTGTACAACACTAAGTATAGTTAATGACAGTCATCATCATTATATGTTCATTATATGTTACATACATTTTCCACAGTAAAAAGGCACAAAAAAGGAAGTGATCCAGGAAGGACCCTCAAGGATACAGCTTTCTCTGGCTTCCACTTCCAGAGAGAGCAAGAACCATTGGGAATTGACCTGGCATTGTTGGGTAGTGGATGTAAATCAATTGGATGAAAAAGCTTGAATTTGAAACTGAGGGGAGTTGGAAGAAAACAAACTGAATTATCACTCTGTGCATAAGAATGCTAAAACTGTCAGGAAATGGAGAGAGGACATGAAAGTGGGTGAGAAGGACTGGAAGGACAAAAGTCTTGTGAGTCAGGGCTGGAGAGACGGTTCAGCAATTAAAAGCACTAGTTGCTCATGCGAAGGACCTGGGTTTGGTTTCCAGCAACCACATGGCAGCTAAGGCTTATGACCTGACTGTCCCATGACTCTAGCTCAAGAGGATCCAATGTCCTCTTCTGGCCTCTATGGGCATTGTACTCATGGGCACTTACACACATGTAGGCAAAACACTCACACATAAAATGAAAATAAATTTAAAAAAACATTTAAAGTGCTTTGTGTCAAGAAAGAACCACTGCTTGGTTTTTTAAAAAGTCTTAAATGATATTTATTTGTTTTGTATGTGTATGTGTATGAGTGTGCACGTAGAGGTCAGAGGACAACTTTCAGGAGTCAGTTCTCTCCTTCCACCAGAGAGGTCCTGGGGATCGAACTTAGGTCATCAGGATGGGTGGTAAGTGCCTTTACCTGCTAAGCCATCTTGCCAGCCCTGTTGCTGACTACTTGCCTTCAGTTTCTGAAAGTTCAATGTTTTTGCTTCCATTACTATTTATGCCTGCTTTATAATTATGCTTATGACATGCACCATGATTGAAATCATCAGAATCCATAAAAATCATTTTTGAATAACTTCAAACTTACATAAAAGCTTCAGAAACTATTAATGCCTGTATGCTCTTCACCTGGGTTCTCCAATTTTTAACATTTTACATTTTCTTTATTAGTCATTGCGCCTACCTATGTATGCATTTTTAAATTTTTATTTATTTATTTGTATCTTATGTCGGTGTTTTGGTGCATGTATGTAAGTGCACCCTTGTTGTACAGTGCAAGAGAACAACAAAAGAGACTGTCGGATTCCCTGGAGCTGGAGTTACGGATGGTTGTTACCTACCATGCGGGTATTGGGATTTGAACTCAGGTCTTCTGCAAGAGCAGCCAGTGCTCTTAACCACTGAGCCATCTCTCTGGCACCTATGTATGCATTTTAAAAAGCCATTTGAGAATAAGTTTTGAATATGAAATCTTTTACTTCCTAACAAACACTACT